TATATGTTAAAACATTGGAAATTTGGATTATAGCATTGATAACTCTTGTACATAATCATGATACTGACTGGAAATAGTAATTAACATGTTTCAAACACCATTTCTCCCCATCTAACTTCCACTTCATGGGGAAGCCGTGGTGGCCGAGCAGGTTAGGCGGCTGGCTTTGTGTGCTGGCAATAAGGTGCCCAACTTTGAGGGTGTGGGTTCGAATCCCAGATCAGTGTAAATATTTTGTATTTGTATTATTTTATTATTGTACTATTACTATTTTATTATTTTACTATTTTGTAAGTCCTGCTGAAACCTAAATAGTAGCAACTGTCTGATTGGTTTAAAACCATTCGCCGTCTTGCATTTAATTGGTAATTTGTTTCTTGGCTCTAATGAGTTCCTAACTACTCATATTGCCTCAGTCCACAAAATTTAGTACCAGCAATACTATATTAAAACTTAATGCTTCTATGTGCTGGCAAGATTGTAGCATACCAGATGCCTGCTTTTATTTTGGTGATACTTTCATATAACACGTTTAATTACTATTTCAGAATTTTTGTTTTCATAACCATAAACAGTGATGTCAAATGGGAATGCCTTTTATTTCTTGTGTCACGTGTGCATTAGTCTGCTAAAAACAGCTTTACTCATAGCTGCCACTCATTTCACAGTTTTTCATTTGCATTTGAAAAAATACATAATAACAATGATAAGTATCTGCATCTTTGGAGCCTCCATAGAAGATGTTTATGCCTAAACCTAACCTTATAGTTACACCCCTTAACCATAGGGGCAAACAGAATCCTATATGAAAACACACAATAGCATTTTTATAGTTTCACTGCACATTTCCATCTTTACCAAGTTTACTTAATATCTCCGCTACTTTAAGTGAAACATACAACTTATTTATTGAAACAATTGATAACTGTTTGTTATAGTTTACCAAACTACAGTAAAATACAGCCTGTCATTACTTTAAAAAGCAGAAACTGTGATTTCGAAACTGGATAAACATAGACTGGAAAGTAATAACTCTTTGAAAGCTGGCATTAACGAAAATGTAAGAAATTTTTATTTATTTATTAACGCTACGTCACTTGCCCAACATAATTTGCCGCATAACGCATATGCATAAACGCCTCCTTGCAGATTATTCCAAGTTTGTTTCGATCTTACTGAAAATGATAACAATGCACTGAACCATTCATCGTTTGTACACACAAGTGATCACGACAATACTTTCAATGTGACAATAAACGAAATAAGTTTACCTATTTTCGAATGGTTTCATATTCCAACTTTGTCTCCGCAAACATCCAAATTGGGGTATGTTTCACGATTGGATTGTTCCTGTCCGCCATATTGTTTAAACATGGCGAATATTCCTTGACACTTTGTAAACAATATCATTACGCCAATATATAACTTATAATATCAGCAAACGCATCTTCTATATTCACTTATATGGCATAAAAAGCAAACATACCTTTTCTATGGTAATACCAATCATAATGTCACAGTGCCGTTGCCACTATTTTCCCTAATTGGCATTAGAACTATTTCTCTAGTCAGTGCGATGGTTGCTGGGTGACGATATCTACTCGCGTCTTGCTCTACCAAGGGAGACAACCCGTCATATCCACTGGCACACTAACTACAGTTAGGAAACATACAATATATACGTTTGTCAATGAAGTGTTAGTTTGCGCGTGTGAGCGTCCCAGTATTGTTTGCAAACATTTTATGAAGTTACGAACAATGAACGAGAACTCGTCAATATTTGTCCCTATGATAAGATACTTTGCACCTATAAATTATGTTGATGTTTTTGTTTCGTTTCTTTTTCTTATTTTATGAAATGACATAAACACAATTAATTAACCTGCTTACAGTTGTCCTCAGGTAAATATTTAGTTGTATGCTTGCCAATAACTCTTTTAATTTTGAAAAAGATCAAGATGACCGCTGACGGAGACGATCAAGAGCTTAAGAGGAGGGTTAAGACCTTAATTTGTTCAAAGGTATGTAGAGATTGTGATTGTGGTATTTTACTCCTTTTATCTATTTGAACATATAATAAAAATACATATTGTAATCATAACAGTGGACAATCTTGTATTTTTTCATGTTGTAGTCTCCTGGCTGTATATTCACATCCTGTCTCCACTATACAAATGTTTGTCTTTAAAAAGTAGGAATTATAGAGAAAACAATGTTCGTAAACGCGAGAGAAATGCAACGCAGATCAAATACACTTCGGTTGAAGGGACCTAACACGACGTCGACCCTCTTTACGGGAAATTCGGTAATACAAACAATGTAGTTTGAAAAATTCAAAATCATACTTTCTCCGTAGAACATTATTGCATCTCTATACCTTTCCAAATTATTAACATGCATAAAGCAACTCTTGGAGAGCGATTTGACGAAAGAATGTTGTGACCAGGAATAGTCATTTTACGACGTTTCAACCACTTTTTCCAAACCATTCTCTCCCAAATGAGCTGAAGATAAAACCTTTACCCAACAATTTTTCAAAATGATTAGAAACATGTTGATGCAGTTGTGGCGATGAAACAGCGAAAACGCACAACTGGATATTTTATTTTCGCAAGATGCCTCATTTCAGAGCTGAAAACGCAAAACACTACACATTTGGACATCGTGCACACTCGGATAATCCATGAAACCAAAGGTCAGGATCGTGAGGATGTATGACACAGGTAGTATCATTAGCATAGATAAAACACAACTGAAGCAGTTCCACAACACTGCAGCTATTCTGACGATTAACTCAACTGTATGCATGTCGCAAAGACTGACATTTATTACATATGTTTCTGTTACCGTTGACATCTGACTAAACCCACATATATGTAAGACGGAACTAAACCCCACCAATCTGCATCAGTAAGTACAATTAGTATAACAATGTTAAAATAAATAATAGTTATAGTTCCTTAAGTGTAACTGAGGTTACATTTGAACCCCGTGAGTCACATGCCTTCTTAATCCGTGTAATGTCGTGTCGTTTGTCTGATGTTTTATAGAAGACACTCAGCTTCCAGTGCTGATACCCCCAGTACAGTTGAACCACATAATAGTGACGTTCATCCAAATCAAGTATCAGGATATTACAAGTTGCCTTCCAGTGAGGGAAACTAGCCACAAACTTTTGTAAACTGTCAATGCCTGCAAATAACTGAACTATTAGTATCAATATCAAGTCCTGTCGAGGTCAGATATGAACAGCAGTCGACGGCACTGAAAAGGGCTTCATAAATGGTTTGCACTAGAATCAGAGTTACACTCCCTTGTAACTTATCAGGCTCGTTGGATCGCTTTAGAAGATTCTGGATTAGACAGTTTCTGTACCTATTTCAGAGGGACAAGATGGCGATTCAAGATCTTCTCGACCTGACTCGTTTGTCATCTACTTGCAAAGTGTGATACCTATTTAGAATAACCGAATTCTTGCCAGCTTCCAACAGTTGTCTGGAATCCAGAACAGTAACATAATTGGGAACATTCAGGTATGCACTACTAATAATTAAACGACTGATAGTGATTTGACCCACTGCATTATTGTTCCATTGAAACTGTGTTAACATTATTGACTATTCCTTGATCTTGTTGACTTCACATGCTCGTTGCAAACTGATTTCTGGGTTTGCCTTTGTGTTTCAATTTAGAAACAACTTTTATCTTTAGAAAACCCACATTACCATGTGGTCCACATCACCATCATGCCTTTTGATAGCGATTCACAAACACGTGCTGCATTTATACTAATGGAAAAAAGTAACTGTGCATAACATAACATTGCATAAAATAAAAGTCATTTGAAAAGTTATGAAAATAACCCTAAATAAACATGTAGCAAAGCACTTTGCATGAAATTTTTTTGCATGCTTTTTGACACCTGAAGTTCACACACCTGATATTGAAAATTGAAGAACGGTTGATTATTCTCTAGCCTCTGAATGTTGTGAAAAACACGTTAATTCCAACCTAAACTGCGCGTACGTCATGCCACTGCGTACAGAAAATCAGCGTCTCCGCGCCGTGGGTATGCTGGAGAATGGAATGGCCCAAAATGAAGTGGCCAGATAATTTTGTGTCCATTCAAACACGATCTCATCTCTGTGGAGACGTTTTCAATATAATGGGAACACGAGAGATTTTGTCTCGAACCGGCTGTCCACCCGTGACGTCACGTCAGCAAGACAACCACATTCGGCTGATCCATCTAAGGAATTGATTCCAGACTGCCAGTTTGACTGCACGGACCAATCCTGGCTTACGTCCAATCAGTTCCAGGATTGTACGGAACCGACTGAGGGAGCACAACATCCGGCCCGACGGCCTGCAATACGTCACCGACAGGCACGTCTTGCCTGGTACAGGCAGCATCTACGGTACAAGGAGACAAGATTGGGATGGCGTTTGTTCACCGACGAGTCGAGATTTCATCTGGACAGTTCAGATGGCAGGGCAAGGGTGTACAGACGTACAGATGTACACAGGGTGTACAGATAATGCTCGTCCACATGTCGCTCTTGTTGTGACATATTTCCTCAGACAGTAGAACATTCCGGTACTCCCCTGGTCAGCTGTTTCTCCGGACCTGTCCCCTATCGAGCACGCTTGGGATGAAATGGAGCGACGTTTACGTCAAGCCTAGAATCAGCCATTGACGTTAGCTGAATTGGCACAAGCGTTGGTTCAGACATGAAAACACATTCCCCAAGCTTTCTTCAATCGCTTAGTGTCGTCTATGCGTCGTCGTTGTCAAGCCTGCGTCAACGCCAATGGTGAAAACACACGATACAGAATTTGTGAACTGACATTTTGACACCACATCTCTTCAACGGCGTGTTACGATGCCTTGTGTCAAGTCATACAGATTTCGATATTATCCTGTCAACAGTTAAACAGATTAAGGAAAACACCACAAATCACGTTATTATCTTTTTGCATTAAAATGGCGTAACATCACATAATGCACAGTTACTTTATTCCAGTATAGTAATGGTTGTTAAGTAGTGTTCTAAAAGAGATTTCTTTTATTTACAAACCGTATGAACACCGCGTAAGCCCGGAGCTCGATGTCGGGAATAGCAACATACCCCATGTATGTTCCGGCACAAGTATCTCGATTAAACACTTCCCTTGGTCGTGTCAAGATCTGATGGTCGTGGGTTCAAGTACCAGATACGCCTCGATTATGAGTTTCGATCGGTCAACATCATGTACCACTTCGGTACCACTGAACCAATGTCTTACAGCTAAATACTGTTCGAATTAATTTGTTGACCCAATGAACATGAACTCTTATTCACTCGATGTATGGAAACCATTCCTCGATAAGCGTCATATTAAGGAAGGGATTTCTCCTGGTGTTACTGCAGGTGAGGCGAGGAGGCCGGTTCACGCGGACATTGGATTGCAAGTTGTACACCTGCATGTATTGACTGTATTGAATCAAATCGGCTCCGTGGCAATCCAATACTCCGCTTAAATGATTTATTATTTCCCTTCGTGATATGCTTTCAAGCTTTCCACAGTGCATGTGTTACACAGTTACTCAAACTGCGATCACTTACCTCATTTTTCACTCTGTCAGATCTTACTAAAGATGGAAGAAATAGTTGACAGCAAATTTTGAAATCAAAGAAAGTAATGCGCCTTCGACTTCTGTGATTGATTTGACTGAGTGTCCTTCTTCAAATAAGACAGGTTGTCAGGCTGTCAGGTACTTACGTAATACAAGAACACGAGAGCGGCTCATCTATTTATTTACATAGATACCAAAGCAATGACGAGTGGAAGTTGGGCTTGGCGTGATTGGCATTGTGAATTAACATCTACAGAAAATGTTCCTCCGGTTGCGTGAAATATTAATTTGGTAGTGTTTGGAGCGAGATAAAATCAGTGGTGAGCAGAGTTCGGGTTGTCAATGTTGTAACATCATTTTCTACTGTCCCCCGCCGACGCCCGAGCCGAGAAAGATAATTAGGTGCTCTGTGGGGCATATTTTATGATAGGATGAGACAATTAATCAATCTATAAAAGATGATTCTTTGATTGATTTCTTGTTCGTGTGGAGATTTATCAGCACGGACACAATCTAATTCTCTGCGTGAATCTCAGTTTATGAAGTTTTGCGAATAGTTTTCATGCCATGATAATATGGACATATTTCCAAACTTGTGCTTTTATTTACCAAGGTATACAGAACTGGTTGGCGGTTGTACGTGCATACGTACATGTGTGTTTTGTGTAAATGTTCATGTTATCAGGAGATGATAATGTGACAGAACCATCAGTTCCTGTTGATGTACACACGCCATGTCCGAATGTCAACCAAAGAGACGAGCAGCCCATAATAAGATGTTAAAGAACATAATAAGATAATAAGAGCAGCCCATAATAAGATGTTAAAGAACACAATAAGATAATAAGAGCAGCCCATAATAAGATGATAAAGAACATAATAAGATAATAAGAGCAGCCCATAATAAGATGTTAAAGAACACAATAAGATAATAAGAGCAGCCCATAATAAGATGATAAAGAACATAATAAGATAATAAGAGCAGCCCATAATAAGATGATAAAGAACATAATAAGATAATAAGAGCAGGCCCATAATAAGATGATAAAGAACATAATAAGATAATAAGAGCAGCCCATAATAAGATGATAAAGAACATAATAAGATAATAAGAGCAACCCATAATAAGATGATAAAGAACATAATAAGATAATAAGAGCAGCCCATAATAAGATGTTAAAGAACATAATAAGATAATAAGAGCAGCCCATAATAAGATGTTAAAGAACATAATAAGATAATAAGAGCAGCCCATAATAAGATGATAAAGAACATAATAAGATAATAAGAGCAGCCCATAATAAGATGATAAAGAACATAATAAGATAATAAGAGCAGCCCATAATAAGATGATAAAGAACATAATAAGATAATAAGAGCAGCCCATAATAAGATGATAAAGAACATAATAAGATAATAAGAGCAGCCCATAATAAGATGATAAAGAACATAATAAGATAATAAGAGCAGCCCATAATAAGATGATAAAGAACATAATAAGATAATAAGAGCAGCCCATAATAAGATGATAAAGAACATAATAAGATAATAAGAGCAGCCCATAATAAGATGATAAAGAACATAATAAGATAATAAGAGCAGCCCATAATAAGATGATAAAGAACATAATAAGATAATAAGAGCAGCCCATAATAAGATGATAAAGAACATAATAAGATAATAAGAGCAGCCCATAATAAGATGATAAAGAACATAATAAGATAATAAGAGCAGCCCATAATAAGATGATAAAGAACATAATAAGATAATAAGAGCAGCCCATAATAAGATGATAAAGAACATAATAAGATAATAAGAGCAGCCCATAATAAGATGTTAAAGAACACAATAAGATAATAAGAGCAGCCCATAATAAGATGTTAAAGAACATAATAAGATAATAAGAGCAGCCCATAATAAGATGTTAAAGAACACCCAAAACCGTATGACTTTAGTCAGTCTGCCATGACAGATAAACTACAGCAATATGAATGAATTGGGTGTTTTTAACTCCTTTTGGGTAGTATACATGTAAAGTATTTTTGGATAGCGAGTAATATTGTTAGTACAGATAATGCACTTTTAAGACTATTTACACGTCATATAACTTTGGGGATATATGTGTGGTCACCATGCCAATTCGAAGGGGAGTAAGCCAGTTTTACATAGATAGTATACGTGCGTACATATGTAATTTAGTATCATATGAACAAGCCTTTTAAAGTAAATGTGTGTCAACAGATGATTCCATTGGGCCTACAAGTATTATAGGCGTGAGATTATGGTCTTTATTACAATAAGGGATATACAATTAACATTATTAATGACAGGGGATTAAGGGGGCAGAAGATACAAATTGTGAGAGTTTTAATAAAATATTGAAGATATGAAGTGATTGGTAACGTTGTAAGGTGGGAGGTAAGGTAGAAAGTCAGTAACGTAGGTAATGAACATGAAAGTAGGTCGCTGGAGCTGGTGAGTGCAAGGGGGGAGTGACTCATAGCTTAGATAGAGGAAAAAGCTACTATACTATCAAGATGGAGAGACCTGGCCGGGGACCTGGCCACCAGTTCCTGGTACTCTACGAGACATATATGGTTAGGAGAGAGAGACCCTGAGATTCCTGGAATCCACCTCACGGTCGTACAAATATGGTAGTGGGGGTACGAAATAGAGGTGGGGGGAGAGAAATAGAGCGGGAGCAAAGCTCAGAAACGAGAGTCTGGTGCGGGCCTGCTCTTGCTGTTGGTCACTAAGAACCGTCTGAGAAATTATCTTGAAGCACCAGCATTTTGGCTTAAGACTGAAGCTTTGCGGCTGAAGTCTTATAGAAGTGACCATAGAGTAGGTTGACCAGCAACACAGTTTCAATAAAAACTATTGAACGAAGATCATCGTCTTGTGTTTGCTGGATGAACTACGGTAAAGTCCCAAGGGCCCCCGGGTACTGACACTGTACCTCTCGCACATCCCATATCGTCAGGACCGAAGTACGGGGGTATACCGTAGTTCAGGTAACGACACACCATCCCAGGTACGGGATACCGACAGGTAAAATACCATCTACCTGACAGGTAAAGGTGCTAGTCGGAACGCCTTGGAAACAGGTACTGTGAGAGAGACTGGTATGGAAGTTAGGATTGTCACAGCTCTATGACAGCTTATTGCAGGTGGATACAGGTGGAAGCACAGGTTAACGCTGACCGTTGTAGTTACACTGGAGGAGTGTAGCACGTCTAGTGCTGTGCCATGTGTTTGGCAGAGGTGGCACACAAGAGAAGGACAACCATTGTTATTCCGATGTACATACAGGTCGTCTCACATATACATATTAATTTTAAATATAAGTATATCCACATTATACCATTTTAAAGAAGTACCACAAATGGACATGAGTGTAAAGGTTCATGCATGGGATTCAACACCGTCATATGCATGGGATTTTGCTAACAACGACACAAACCCCCGTCGTTCCTAATGGTGACTGACCAGCCTTAACTGTATTCTACAGCAATTCGAGATAGGATTAAACGTCAAACACCTCTCGGAGCTAAGATAATTATGGCATTAAACAATTTGAAACTGATCTACCAAATCAGCTTTTGTATAGAAGAGACGTTCACCTGTGCTGTGTCATGGACTCCTGTACAGCGTGAAGACTTCTACTGTCCTCATCAGAAGCACACGTAAATCTTCTCGGGCTCTTGAAATTTATTTCTCTCACATGATGTTTACGTGGTGTTTTATAAAGATCACGTGAACCAATTACAGTTGAATTTGGACAATGATGGGGACAAAACTGTTGAAGAAATTAGACTTGCCATCATGCAGAGTCTGTATCGCGGCGTACCCATGGTGTTTAGCGACACATGACCAGACAGCCAGACGTAACATTCGGATCATCTCTGTTCGTTGTATGGTTGTGCTCGGACGAAGGTACTGCACGTCCATAAAGACGAGACTGGTGAGTATGGTTGTTTTACTCGTGAATATCATCAGAGCAACAACGTTTAAACACCTTAGTGGGTGTTATTCGCTATTGTTCGGTACGATCACTATGGAAAAAGTCGGACCGCCGTACAATCTATAATCGTCGTGTGTCGTGCACACTGTCCCCTGGGTGTGGAGGTAATGCAGCCGTAGTGAGGATTATCTGCCATGTAATCCCTTATATACATTCGAGGGCAGACCCACGGGATTCCAGAGAAGAATAGGTTCCCAGTAACACGGCGCATGTCGTTAGAGACATACACGGTGACCACGCACGCCCTGTGATGTTGCTGGTTGTGTGGTATCATGGTGACATGGATCGTTGATGGAGTTTTGTGTCGATGGATCTGTCTGGTCCGGGCTCAATCAGTCATAGGCCGTCGTCGATTGGTACTGTTACAAACTGATTGATACTGTTACAAACTGATTGATACTGTTACAAACTGTGGCGTTTACCTATATTCACTCGTTGTGAGTTGTCAAATTACAACCCATGACGTCTCTAGTTTTCACGGGACCAAAAACCGGATAGTACACCATTGAAATAAACGTAAATACAGTAAAGGAAGTACATCCTATGACCGGATTCGCGTATGTTTCCTGTATTTTCCAACTTCGGATGCTTATTATATATGAAACTGCGCCTTTGCATCATATGATCATCGTATATTGACGTATGCAAAATCAACTTTTGCATGTATGCTACGACCGGATTTGCAGACATTTCCAAGCGTGAATTCAGAAGCTGATACATCAGTAAATGCTTGGTCCTAGAGTATTTCCAATAAACTCCTTGTAATTCGTGCTGAGATTTCCTAATCTTTTCTAAGATTACTAGGGTTGGAAACATGAATACTTCCTAAGGTAGGGAAACCTATGTAAATTTATTAATTTTCACTCCTTAGAAACTAATATATTCTGAATATCAAGGGTATGCGTTGGAACAGTTTTATAGGTTATATTACCTGAGCTAAACCAAGATAATCGCAGAATTTTCCACTGTGTTAAATACTGGTTTCATATTGTTTTATTTTCACAAATGCTGAAGCCTTTGACATCAAGGCTCATATAACCTTCTCAAACTTCTACCGATGAGGGCCTGGCTGAGCAAAAACATTTTATGCAAGTGGACAGATTTCCATTTGGTCATCGGTTTCACCACTTCCCTTCAACCCGTTGTCAGTTCTTTAGACAAATGTGAGTAGGAAAAATGGCTTGAGAACAGAGTTTGAGCCGTTAAGCGTTTGTCTGAATGTAGCCATTCAGATTGGGGTTGGAAGTTTTTAAAGCAGTATATTATTGTTTTTTTCCCGATTATTGTTTTTATAATCGCCGACAAATCACAAGCAGGAGTTTCATATCCGTGTATTATTCAATGCAGTAAAGCTCTGGAATACATGAATACTGTATTCAATAAGAAAAGATCTGTAGAAATATTTGTGTTTGCAACCTGCTAAAAACTGAATAAATAATAGGTACTTTAGCACCTTAGTGTTGTTCTACTTTTCGGTTATACAGTTTCCTATCAGTACGTTAAAGTTACACGATTTATGTTTGTTTTGAAATGAACAGTTTGCACAATCTGAGCAAATACGCAGCCCATCTAGAGATCTGGAAAAATATCAATGCATAACTCTATATACAGATTTGGGGGTATGAGGTTTGGCATGTGACTTTTCCCCTCCTTATTCTGAATTCAAATTTGACGGATGTGTTTAAGAGAGTTTAAATTAATATTCTTCCAGAAATATGATTAATGCTGCCTAAAAATAATATGCTTACGACCCAGTTTTTGCCCGATTCGCGTACGCATGAGTGCACGCACCCGGGTATAAAATACTGATAACAGCGGGCAAATTTATTTTTAACATCCGCGGCAAGAGTCAGTCGAATATTTAAAAAGAAAAGACAATAGGAGAGTGACATGCATAACTAAGAACTATGCATATGTAGACATGTTGCGTTTCCAAACCATTTCCTTCTAGATTTATTTTCTATCTACGAAATATATCCAATACTGATTATGTGTAATAACGAGTTTCACAAACACCTGCTCTCTAAACCTAAGTGTTCTAGTTCTGAACACTATGAGAACACCCTTCCTGTAACGCAGTCGGAGTGTTCTGATTTAGACACTATGTGTTCTGCCGTCAGAACAGTAGTGTTCCACTCTTCAGAACACTCTTTGTGTGTTCTATATGTGTTCATTTCAGAACACCCCCGGAGGCCTTGGACGCTGTAACAGATTTAGAACGCCCTTTGAGTGTTCTGAGCCTTATTTCAGAACACTAGTGTTCTCACACTTCCATCCGCCAAACATGAACGAATAAAAACCACAACAAAATGGAATGATTCAAAACTTTATTGACATCTATACTGACTACTAAACCGTGTTATTATCGTTTTGTTAGACCGCGGACGGCTAAATAGAGTGTAGGAGAAGAAGCTAACTTTAAATACAGCAACACATTCGTGCACATCTTATAACATATGCAGTTAAAGTTGCATCATTGAAGAAAACGCTGAGAAAAGAGTCCCTATTTATCATCCAAAACTGTGTTCCACAGGAGATATCGCTTGTGTGAGATCAAACGATATCTCCTAGGAGATATCGTTTTGACAGTAGATTTTGTACAATGCCCTGACAATGTGATGACGTCATGTACTTGATGACGTCACAATGCTATGACATCGCTGCACTGCAAGTCTAATGGCAGTACCATGTTCAGAGATGTACATTTTTCATTGAAAATTAATGAAGAGTGATTTTGAATGATAAATAGAATCTCACCCTCGTGTCTTCTGATATCAAATATATCAACACTCATTGATAAAGTAAAAATATCCTCGGCAAGCCTCGGATATTTGTAACTTTATCAACTCGTGTTGATATAATTGATATCAGAAGACACTTGGGTGAGATTCTCTATATCTCAGGGTCGGACAAGGATGAGATAACGTCCCCGATTACTCTGAACCTACAAAACCATCGTGTATGCTCTGGAATAGCTTAAATTGAAAATGTAGTACATCGCCATCAGTTTCAATACCGGGGCCATGATGCCAGCTCGACACTCACCTAGCATGACACGGTGTCGGCAGCGATGTGGAGGCCGGCCAGAGCATCACCCCTGACGAAAGCGACGATGTTTGGACCCTCTGAGGCTTTTGTCTTCAGAGCCTCGTCAATCTCATCAACGGTCACATCCTACAATACAATAAATAATACAATTTTACACTAAATAATTCATTTGACAGATATGATGTGGCATACACGTGATTTAAAATTTCAACTGAACTCTAATTCATGACACACCATTTTGAATGAAAATACTGTTTTATTTCACCCACAAACAAATATGAAAAAACGCTTATCCAACGGTTTCAGTGAATACAAAACAGGTTCCATTTTGTAAGAATAGGCAATTCACGTTTGTACATTGTGGAAGAATCTTGGTAACCACCTACTTAATGATAACTTTCCTTACATTACAGGATATAATCAGGTGACAGCTTCTACATTCAAATTTTGGGCTAGTGAATTATTTTGTGGGCTGGTAATTTTCAGGCACAGCTAAACCCGACTGGCTAGCAAAAGTTGGAAACTATATTTCGCACACTGGATGCAAATGACATGGTTATTTACACATATTCCAAACATGACGAAATGGCTTTGGGAATGTTTGTTTGTCATACCGCATATCTCTTGACGTCTAGACGTTTGAAATATATTGGACATTCTTAATAATATTGACCGTGTCTGTACAGTGGAACCTGATACCAACTGCCCTGGGGCATAATGCAAGTAACACGGCCTTAGCACTCGTTACAGACAGTAAGTTAGTTCTGTTTATCGGGAGCTTTTGTAACTTGCAATAAACGTCCTACTGCCAGTAAGGCAATTTATACAGATATATACGATTTACCCTAAAACTAGTATGTAGTACATCACCTCAAGTTTTGGTTCGGGATTTCAAAAAGCTTTGTTTTGGCCTGATGTCTAAACAGTTACAAACATATTTTCCCATGCAATTTCTCCTTTGTGAGTTGTACAGAGTGGTCATGTTTTCGGGTACATTTGTGCACTGGCTTGTCATTGCATCAGTTTGTTGCGTGCCCCACAGCTGGGCCTGGGTGACCTTGACTTTCCTCAAGCACCTGTGTCATCACTGTTTGTCAGTGATTCATGCCTGAGAGGTTGAAAGCGTGCAGTCGAGCAAATATCAATTATAATTATGTAACTGCTGAACATTAGGGATAATGTTATTATAATTATAGTCATGGAGCACTTTCATGTTAATTTTTCATTTTCATTGCTTTATTATAACGTCCAGCCAACCATGTAGCATAGTTTTTTTATTTTTACTTTAACGTACACTAGAGTCACGCTATATGATTATCTAATAGGGAAACGTTTTCTATTGAGAGAGGCCTGGCGAGCTCATAATCATATTAGAAAATGAGATTGCAGTGCTAACTGAGACTATTGTGGCAACCCTATTCATAACGGTTCAGCCTCTTGAACAAGAAAGGAGACACAAACATTACCCTAGATTTTATGGACAACTCCTATGTCTGATGTTTACGAAATATATGAACTCGCATACTCAAATATGATAATCAAGAAAAGACTAGGAAATAGGCCAAATCTCAGTTTACATAAAGCTCCTGGGTTTCAAATAAGAAGTAAATGTGTAGGGGTGTTTACGTCCTTTGTTCAAATCTTCAGCATCCAGATGGCATTGGGCATGCTGAAGTAATCTGAATGTTTAACACGGATAGATAGATTTCACTTTTAACCTTAAACTTCGAACATAAAAACCTGTCGTCAGTGGACAGTACAACTACTAGAATATCACAGATTTTGATTAAAGAAAAGCATGCTACTTAAAAAAGGTATCAAGCAATCTTGATTCCCTCAAAGTACATGAGTTACATAAAACAAACATAATATTTACAACAATATTTCAAATAATGTCTTTAAAAAGCATGACAAATTCTTAATGATCTTAATATTCCCATTACACATCAGCTTCTTATAATCTACTAAAGATGGATATTTGTAATAATACTCATTAATCAAACTGTTTTTATAGAGAACAATAGAGTATAGAAATGTGCTGGGGATCACCCACAACTGGACGTATATCACAATACTAGGGATCATGAACACGTACAGTACTTTTGCTACCTGTATGGACCCAACTTTTTTTACATCATTCCTTCAGATGTTGGTGATTTGTTTGCAAATTAATCATACATTAAAATAAGATTCTAGATTAACATCACGGAGGATGAAAAATGCTTTGAATGAAATGGGACTACCCTCTCAGGGGGAACAGGCATTGAGAGTCTTACCAGTGCAAGGGCAGTTTAGTGT